TCATTAATATATAAAAAATTATATATATTGTATGCAATTATTATAGAATAATTATAGGTGCTCTTTTTTACAGCTTGTAGAATTATAGTTAGATTGCAGGTCTCGTAGACTATAATCAGAGAGCAAAGATGCAAAAAGTGTAAAGAGAACTCTTTGATATCTGTAATTAGTGCAGAACGCTCTGAATAGGCATGATATTGCATATGATTAGATGACAGAGCATATTACAGTCGAGCTGGCAGGCAGTTGCTGCCACAGCCTGCACAGCTCATAATCAACATTGTTGCAAGGAATGTTAATGCTGCTCATTAGTTGTGTGGCAATGTGTAGGGCACCAGTGGCACACCAGCTGTTATTTTACTGAGGCAATTTAAACGGCATTAGCGCTAATAATTTGCGTTTACCTACTGCCTGGCGACTGGTTCTGGTGCCTGTTGACTTCGAGGATGGGATTGCGTCGGGCAGCGCCGTAATCTGAAAATCTCTTGCATCACTTGAGAATAATCATTGGGCAAGGACGTGACTGCATCGTTGACGTTTATTGTGACAGCCGTGCTGTGGTGACTGCTTTCTCTGTGCCTTCTGCCTGAATAGCTGGCTGCAACAGCCTTCAGGTGCTTAGGTCTCGATGCGGTTCCGTTCCGTTCCTGTGTCGCTGCATGGGGCATAAATCAACGCGAGCCGCAAACTGCAACCACAACAAAGGCAAAGGTAAAACGCAGGTAGCGACACCAACGACGACGACGACGACAACAACATCAAATTCCGAAGCCTCCAAACAAACGCAACGTTCCGTTTGTCGACCCAACTCTAAACTCAATTAGTGCATTGGTATAAGTGTGTGAGAGTGCGTTGCATTCTTTGCATGCCAATGTGGCATTTGATTGATAATTTCGTTACGCCTCGAACATGTTTCAAAATACATTTTTGATAGCTTTGGGCTCGCCCTTCGCCCCTCCCCAGATTTATGACATATTATGTTCCCAAGCCTCTATTGTTTACTGCCATTGTTAGGCATTAGCATGATATTTGTCGCTGATTCGTTTGGACAACAGCGCTTCGAGCATGACTAAGTGCCCGCATTCGACTGGGATCCTCTTATTTACGGAGTCCGTCTCTTCGTCTTCTTTATAGACATGCTAGACAATTAGGTTAGGTGGCAGCAGAAGCCAACAAAGAGATCCCGTTATCATCTATTCGGACTCGCATTGATTTTAATCGTGATTAGATTAAATAATTTCAAGGCGCTACTTTCTATAATCTCATTTGAAAACTTCGATAGAGGTAAGATTTGCACAACATATTTATTTATAATAAGATTTATAATCTTAAAAATTGTAATTAGTTAAAATTTGTATATATGTATGTAAATTGGTATATCATAAGAAGGTAATTGGCATAATTTGTATGTATTTAATTATTAGCTGAGTTGTATTGGATATATTTAAAATATTTCTAAATATTTGATTGGAGCATTTATTTATTGCATTTTCTACTTAGTTGTTAAAAATTTGAATTTTAAATTCTGCATCTATGGGAGTATAACTCTTTTAATACAAATACTATCTTCTTGAGATACAATTTTAATGTTCAGCTACTTAAAATTTGGAGTTAAAGCAAATCCATAAGCAAACTTTGTAGATAAGCCGCTTATGCCTATATCATGTTCCTTTGATGAATTCACGATTAATGTATAATTTGTAAGGTTTCATCTTGTCGTACGGATGCATCACGCTGTTATTTTCAATGATTTATTGTGGGTGTTTCTCACATTATGACATCGATGGCATCAACTGGCAAAGCAAAGGCAATCACGAAATCCATTTGAGAATTCCTTTGGTTATTAGACTTCAAGTTTCAGCTTGCCGTATTTCTGAAACTTGCTCATAAACTCATCTCATTTCTTCACACCAACATATGACACCGTTTTGCCACTCTTGCGCAGCTGGGCCAACAGTTCGTCGGACGTTAAATTTGATGTGACGGTTACTGTTTTTGCTTCCAAATTGATGTTCACTTTTTCCACCTTATCTGCAAAATGCAAAATTCACATTTTAGTTGATAAACGCGCCCAAACAAACGCCGTCTCGCTGATAAGCGGCACTTGTATTAATATGTACTTAAACAAGAATGAGTGTACATACATACGTACCAGCACAAAGCCTAAAGCTTAACTAGCCTATGTAAATATATATGTATGTATATATGTAAGTATACGCACCACCTAATTTGGATAAGACCTTTTCCACGGCGCCGGCACATCCGCCACACGACATTTCCACTTTGAATTCATGAACCTAGCCGCAAAATGGATAGTAATGCCAATTGTTATTATTATTCAAGTTAAAATAATTTAAAATGCATTCTCTATTTGTGCTTGCAGTACGTACTGGCATCCTGCTGTTGGTGCTGTTGCTGCTGCTTGGACGACTCGAGTCAGCCGTAGTATGCTTATAGATTTGCGGTAAGTTAAACAGCTTGAAGCTCCTTTATATTATTGTTGTATTAAACGTGGCACACTCTATTCTCACAAGCGTTGACAAACAATTAAATACTTTTTCTTTTGTGTTTGCACTGTTATTAAGGCAATCGATGGAACTCGATAGTCGTGTTGTGCTGTGCTGCACTTATCGATGTATCGATACTGAAACAAGCAGTCCGGTAGCACCTTACAAATTCTCATCGAAATTATGTAATCGCTAATGAATTCAAAATAAATTTCGATAAGCCCATGATGATTTACTACTAATTTATTCATAATTTATTTTTATGCACATCTTAAACGTTGCTCATCAGATACCCAATTCTACACACGTTTTGGGCATGCGCCAAATCTGTAAACTACTTGATGGTCGTATAACTGACCCGGATTAATAATAACCGTTGGAAACTCCGGGTTGTTCATTGCATCAGGATATTTTTGAGTTTGCAAACAAAACGCGCTGTGTTGTGAATAGTGCGCACCTCCCTTTCCAACATGGGGAACATCCCCGCGGTCTTCTTGGGGCAGACCATTTGCAGTAGAGAAATGCACTCCAGGTTGATTGGTGTGAATTTCCACAAAACGACCCGAGCATGGGTGAACTGCGCGGGCAACCAGCTTCACTTGATTCGGATCCACATCGACACAGTAGTTGTTATCAAATCCACTAATGGGGCATCGATTAACCTGATTGAGGCGTTTGCCCAAATTTGTTAAGGTGGAAAAGTCATAGGGTGTGTTACGCGTTGGCATTAATTTTCCAGTGGGTATTTGCTCGAGGTCCGTGTCCACAATCTTATTCGCCTTGATCATTATCATATGTTGGTACAGTGTGTCCCTACCCGAACTGTGGCCTGCAAGATTAAAAAGGCAGTGGTGGCCTATGTTGATGCATGTTGTCTCTTTCGCGCGCGCCTCGATTCGCAACCCTAGGCAACCAGCTTCATTAAGTGAGTAGTTAATGTTGACCGTTACTTCGCCCGGATAGCCCTCGTGCCCGTCTGGCGAGACGTGTTGAAACGTGACACCGTCCTTGTGTATGCCAACTACATCCCAAATAACGCTATCAAAGCCCACATAGCCACCATTCAGATGGTAAAGATCCTTGTGGTTTCGAGATAGACTTATTTCCTTGCTACACAGGTTGAAACGGCCACGTGCCACACGGTCGGCAACGCGTCCAATTATGGCCCCTACGTAGAATTTCTGGTTGCGGTAATAGCCAGCGACATCGTCATAGCCAAGACAAACGTCCTCCAGCTTAGCATTAGCGTCAGGCACCCTGATGCTTTGTATAATACCGCCCAATGTCAATATAGCCACGGACATGCCCTTCTCCGAACACAATGTGAAGCGGCGCACATGATCGGTCTTTTGGGTCATGGGATTAACGGCAATGCCAAATACATCTTCCACCACTCGCACCATCTTTATGCGATGATAAATTTGAGGTTTTAAGACAAAACAACAATTTCGAATATCATGGGTCAAAAAAAAATTTAAAATGTAAATGTATTGCTGGTCGCTCAATACATCCGAATTTTGCACAGCCAACTTATACAGAAGCCAAAACGAAAGATATTTGTATAAAATTTACAAAATACAAAAAGTACGTTTACTCTACATAAAATTTCAATCTACAATGACTTACAAACACCACTCACCCATAGTTGAAGCATAGAATTTTCGAATTCGAAAATTATTACGTCTCGTTATATACATGCTTATTAGTATGCTTATTATTATATAAGATTTATAAAATAACAAATGCATTATAATAATGAGATAAACATATAGGCATATTTGGTCAATGTGGTTACTATATATTCATTAACATTTCGTAATTGCTGAAATATGAGCATTTTCAAATAGCCGGTATGACCACAAGATATCGTTTGCACGATAAGTACACGATATCTGAATTAACTGTGCACAATCGCCTTGCAAGTTCAGTATTTTAATTCTAAGCTTAAATTTGAAAACATCGATAGATCGATTATTACATCGAATACATAATAATAATTTTATTCAAAATAATGAAGCGAACGCTTTGCAATATTATACTACTTCTACTTATTATATTTTTGATATTCTTGCTAAGAATAGGTTTTACTGAAAGGACTGAGAGCCCATTGAAGAGGACGAGGAAAATACCATTTCTAATGAATCGATAGCACTTTGTTATTCTACATTTCAGTTAAGATTTAAAAAAAGTTTTTCCCGTATATGCTCTGGATATATGTCTCAAACTGTTTATCACATAGCTTGCTGTTGTGGTGAAATTTGTCTGACATTTAAGCAAAAAAATCAGATGTGGACGAGTCAACATTCAATGGAACTTCAACAATTTCAATGCCATAATTTTTTACCATTATGAATACTCAAAATATATTTACTATCCAATTGGAGCAAGAGGACACATCAGAGAAGCCTGTGGTGAGCGTTGATAAAGGTCACTACTGAGTAATTAAATGATATACGCGCCCTGTTCTTGTATAGCCGCCGAACGAGTGGGAAATATTGCGAGAAAATACCTGCAGTACCATTTCTCAGCTGAAGAAAATTAAATTGTCGGTGTACAAGGAGAAGCTAAATTTATACAGCGAGAAATGTAAAATCAAAGATGATGTCATCTTGGCTCTTCAAACATGTTTGGAAACCTATAAAAACACAAATGAGAACAATAATGAATTGATATCATTCCTAAAGACGAAACTCGCGGAAAGACATTCCAAAATGGTCGCATTGAAGAAAGCGCATGAAACTCAAAATGCTGGCTACGAATCAACTATTTGCGAGAAAAATGAAATGATCAACACACAAGATGGCATTATTAAGGAAAAGGAGAAACAAATCGAGGAGTTGGCAACCAAAATTAAGCAGCAATACGAATTAACTATTAAGTCTGATGAACTGATTTCCTCGCTAAGGGCCACTGTCGAGGATAGTGAAGCAAAAATCAAGGAAAGAGATCAGAAAATAACACAACTCGAAACTGAGTTAACAACCAAGGCGGAAAGAATACGAACTCAAAATCTGGTAAGCAATCGGATAGTCCAGCCGAATATAGCTATATCTAATGTTTACGCAAGTTAAAGTTTGATGCCGCACTGATGCTCTGTAAGCAAAATGATCGTGTGGTCAGCAGTACGATCAAGGAACTGCAGGAGATTCTATCGGGGGAGAACAGATCCGAAATCAAAATCGTATCCCTGCCCCGCATTGGTCCAATTAAGATAGCCGTCGAAAATGTTGCAACTGGTCCTTGCTGGATGGTCATTCAGCGTCGTGGCTATAAGGTGGTGGACTTCAATCAAGGCTGGTTCTCCTTTGTGGAGGGCTTCGGCAACTTGGACGAAGATTATTGGATTGGCCTGGACAAGATACATGCAATGACCAAGAGTCACATGCACGAGCTCTATATCCACTTAGTGTTTGCCAATAATGAAACTCGATACGCCTATTATGATAACTTTGCCATCTCGGGCAAAAGTGACGACTACAAGCTGAGATCCCTCGGCAACTACGTGGGAAATGCAGGGGATGGACTACGCACACACGAACACCACATATTCAGAACAATCAGGTATGATACCAAGACCACCGTGGAGTACAACCGCTGGTGGCAACATGAGTACCCCAATTGGTGAGTAGAGATCCGAAATTAAGCAATATATAGATCCATCTCCGTGACGAGCTGTACCATTGCAGCAATCTGAATGGAACCTTCAGTGAGAAAACTGAATTCGGTGTTTGGTGGTGTCGAGGCAATGGCACATATAAATTTGTGGAATCCGTACAAATGTTAATCAGGCGAAAGCAAGTGTAATTTTATAAAGTCAATAAAATCGTTTTTGTTATATTTTTACCTTTATATACATACATACATAAATCAATGTATCCATATATGTATATGTATATATCAAAATTTACAAATAATATTAAAACATTTTTAAAATCTAGTAAGATTGGTCGACATTTAGATACTTTGACGGGATAGGGTTCAGTGGTTCCGTTAGTTGGTTTTACGACATATTCACAATTACCCTAAATTATATCTCTATATTTTTAATTAAGGGATTGAGCTCGCTCAGTGTAGTCATATCTAATGATAAATATATATATTTTATTATAGATATCAACTTTTAAACAATATGCAGGGCAGGTATGGAACCCCATTTTCCCTTTTCCAAATAAGCTAACTCCAATTATAAGGAACTGTCGATATATGCATATAACATAATACATTCGAGTTTATTAACGGCTTAAGGAAACATGAACAAACTGGCTTAGGTGGGACCAAGCATATTTTCCGGACGTACCCATTTATCATAGTCTTGTTCAGAGATGCCGGCAACGAGGGCCTCATGCTTCAGAGAGGTGCCATTCTTATAAGCTGCCCTGGCTATTGTGGCTGCCTTGTCATAGCCAATGTGCGGATTGAGTGCGGTCACAAGCATCAGAGACTCGTTCAAGAGCTTTTCGATCCTCTCCTTGTTCGGCTTCATGCCAACAACGCAGTTCTGGTTGAACGCATTGCAGCCATCAGCTGAGAAATGAGTCAAGCACTTAGTCTAATGTTCAATGGAATCTGTGATCGTAAAATACTTAGCAGCTGTATCGAGCGCAGAACGTTGGACGCTATCAAGGGCTTGAAGACATTCAGCTCGAAGTGACCATTGGAGCCGCCCACAGAGACAGCCACCTGATTGCCCATGACCTGGGCACAGATCATGGTCAACGCCTCGCATTGAGTGGGATTTATTTTGCCCGGCATTATCGAGCTGCCCGGCTCGTTCTCCGGCAACGAGAGCTCGCCCAAGCCACAGCGCGGTCCGGAGGCCAAGAATCGTATATCATTGGCAATCTTCATGAGGCTCACGGCAATGGTGTTCAATGCGCCATGCACCTCGACCATGGCATCCCTGGAGCCCAGGGCCTCAAAGAAGTTCGGAGCACTTACAAATGGCAGAGATGTCAGCTGAGCAATGCGCCTGGCAGACTTCTCGGCGAATCCCTTGTAAGTATTCAGCCCGGTGCCCACGGCAGTGCCTCCTAGAGCCAGTTGATAGACGTGGGGCAGGACCGCATTGATCCGCTCCAGACCATTGGTTAGCTGCTGCGTATATCCGCTGAACTCTTGCCCCAATGTCAGCGGCACCGCATCCTGGGTGTGTGTGCGTCCGACTTTGATGATGTCCTTCCATTCCAAGGACTTGGTCTGGAGAGCGTCACGCAGGTCGGTGATCGCCGGCTTCAGGCCCTTGACCAGCTGAAGCGCCACCGCAACGTGTAGGGCAGTTGGAAAGGTGTCATTCGAGCTCTGTGATTTGTTCACATGATCATTGGGATGCACCGGATTCTTGGAGCCCAGCTCGCCGCCCCGCAGCTCAATGCAACGATTGCTAATCACCTCATTGACGTTCATGTTCGTCATTGTGCCAGATCCCGTTTGCCAAATGGGCAGTGGAAAGTGGCCCTCATCGTACAGCTTGCCCGAGATGAGATCATCGCACACAGTCGAAATGGATGAGCAGATGGAGCTCTCCATCCCGTACTCCAGGTTGACCTCAGCGGCGGCCTTCTTCACTATGCCCATGGCCTGTATAATGGACTTCTGGGAAGATAATCGGAGCACATGAATATCATATTTATGCACCTGTGTCTATCGAGCACTTACCGGCATGCGCTCACTCGGATCCCCGAAGGGAAAATTGTTCAGACAGCGCATAGTCTGGGCCCCAAAGTAACGATCAGCTGGCACCTCGATCGTCCCGAGCGTGTCGCTCTCAATGCGACTTTGCGACTTACTCATCTGCTCGCTTTACCTACCCAACTGTAGTATACACATATGTAACTATATATAGACTGAATGAATTACAAATGTTAAGGCCAAGCCTACCTGATCTTTGGATACTACTCCCAAATATCTCAATTGAAAAATGAATATAAAATATATGTAAATATTTCTAAATAAATAAATTTAACTTTCTATATATAGATCATACTTTATTGATATTTAATCTATTTAGTTGCCTTTGTCACTTTTCATTGATAACTAAATGATAAGAGCTTGTCTACGTGCAACCAGTTGTCTAGGTCGGCATTGGAGAGGCCTTTCTTGTAGGCCTCCCACTTGACGGTGGTGCCATTGGCATACGCCAGGTTGGCAATTTCGATTGCCTTGTCGTGGCCGATGTATGGCTGGAGAGGCACTGCCATTATAAGAGATTCATTCAGGGTCTTCTTAATGTTCTTCTCATTCGCCCGGATGCCCTTGAGGCAGCTGTTGGTGAACTCATTTAGGCCGTCGCTCAGTAGACCGATGGAGCGTAGCACATTCGAGGCGATCAGCGGCATGAAGGCGTTCAGCTCGAAGTGGCCATTGGAGCTACCAATGGAGACGGCCACCTGGTTGCCCATCACCTGGGCACAAATCATGGTCAGCACCTCGCACTGCCTCGTGCTCACATTGTCCGGCATCAGGGAGCTGCCTGGCGCATCCTCCGGCAACACGAGCTCGCCGAAGCCACACCGTGGCCCGGAGGCCATGAGTCGTACATCACTGACAATCTTCATCAGACTGACCACAGTGCTGTTCAGCTCGCCGTGCAGCTCCACCAGAGAGTCGCGGGCACTGACCGCCTCAAACACATTGGGTGCGGACACGAAGGGCAGCCCCGTGAGCTCCGCAATACCACTGATGCACCCAGCTCCAAAATCCTCGCTGCACGACTTACACGAACAGCCCTCGCTGTTGAGAGAAATTTCATAGAGTCGCTGCATGCACGAGTCGAGTCGGGAGCTGTTGTTGATCATCATTTGCTTGTAGCCGCCAAAGACGTTGCCCAGGGTCATGGGCTCCGAGTCCATGAGATGGGTGCGCGCGATCTTGATGATATTCTTGAACTCCTGCTCCTTATTGTCCAGAACCTCAATGAACGCTTTGATTGAAGGAAAGAGCTTCTCGTTCAGCTGCATGACCACGGCAATGTTGATGGCCGACGAGAAGTTGTCGCAGCAGCTCTGAGACATGTCCACATGCCCCACGGCATCCACTGGCTCCTTGCTGCCCACCTGGCCGCCCATAATTTCGATGGCGCGGTTCGAAATCACCTCGTTGACATTCATGTTGGTGGACGTGCCCGAGCCCGCCTGCCAAATGACCAGCGGGAAATGATTCTCATCGTAGAGCTTGCCCGAGATGACATCGTCGGAAGCCTTCATAATGGCGTCGCAGATGAGCGGCTCCAGTCCGCTCTGCCTGTTCGTTTGGGCGGCGGCCTTCTTTATGATGCCCAAGGCTACGATGATGGGGCGCTGCAGGGAATAGCTGGCTGCGGCTTACACAGGATGCCTCAATGAGGGCGGCTACTTACCGGCATGCGCTCCTCCACGCCACCTATGGGAAAATTCATTACCGAACGCATGGTCTGCGGCCCGTACATGCGATCCAGAGGCACGCGTATTGCGCCCATCTCATCGTACTCGATCCTCGTATCCGGCTGGCTCATGCGCGCCAGCTTGTACAGCAGACTAAACATTTCCTTCTGGTCGAACGACATCTTCCAACTCATATGGGAACCCAACTCTGTATGAAGGTGCGAAGAGATTGTGTATGGAGACTACTGGGATCTATGTTTCGAATATTAAATATCTATTTATGTTATCCCACATAAAATCCATTTCAATTAGTGCAGAGGCTACTATTTACATACAATTTACATTCATGCGAAGTGCAGTAGAGCTTGACTATAAGAAACAGAAGACTTTAATTGAATACTATAAATCCGTAAGCTGTTTTATTAATCTATTATTTGTTATTACAACAGCATTTCCAGGACTGTTCGACGACAAACTTGTATATGACTTCATGGTTGTACTTTTCGTTGGGATTAAGAAATATGGAGGGAAAGTCGTGATTCTGATGGTTGACAGCATCCGGAAATTTCTCGGTTTCCACACAAAATGAGCCGTGCTTGCGATAATGCGAACACTCCTTGCCAATCATAGGAGTGTCACCCTTCTCCTCGTCCGGCAAATTGTTGGCCGTGTAGAACTGCAGACCCGGCTGATTGGAATAAATCTCCATGGCGCGGCCGCTGGGTGGGTGGGCCAGCTTGCCAATCAGATTGACGCCCTCCTTGCCCTCGTTGACCACAAAGCAGTTGTCGTATCCCTTGATTAGACGATTATCGAACTGCTTCAGCCGATCTCCAATCAGCACGGGAATACGCATATCAAAGACCGTGTCGTCCACATCCAAGAATTCACCGGTCGGGATTTGGTCGTCATCCGTATCGATAATCCTCTTGGACGCTATCTCCACTGTATGCTCCGCCAGTCCCTTGAAGCCGGCATTGTGGCCAGCCAAATTGAAGTACGCATGATTGGACAGATTAATGGGAGTCGTTTTGTCCGTAAAGGCCTCGTAGCGTATACCCAATCGGTTCTGGTTGTCCAGCCAATACGTTACGGTGACAGTTAAATTGCCCGGATAGCCCTCGTGCCCATCGGGCGATACATGCTTAAACGTAATACCCATTATATCTGATTTACGTGCCACCTCCCAGATGACGCTATCGAAGCCAACAAAGCCGCCGTGCAGCTGATACGTGTCCTTGAAGTTCTTCGTTAGTTCGTACTTGGTCTCGCCCACAGTGTACGAGCCATTGGCCACCCGGTTAGCCACACGGCCCAGAGTGCCGCCAATGTACGCGTGCTTGGCATTCACGTAGCTGGCAATGTCGTCGAAGCCAAGGCACACGTCCTCGATCTTCTCATAGGCATCCGGCATGCAGACGCTCTGGATGATGGCGCCCAGCTGTATGACCGAAACGGACATCTTGTTCTGATTGGTCATTGTGAAGCGACGCACCATTTCGGGCACTTTGGTGAACGGATTCTTTGCCAGGCCAAAGATTTCTTCCGTGATTGTGACTGACATCTTCCTATCGCTGCTGTTGGCTCCTGGTCAAACAGACAAATTTAGTAGCTTCTAACTCAAATAATAATTTAACAATAACTGCCAGGCAGCCTTAAACACCTTTTATTATTGTACTTGAATTCCGTAAAGGTCGCGCGCTGTTGCACCAAAGTCAAAAAGGGCAATGGATGCAGATCGCCGGCGCTTCACAAACTGATGCATTTCGCAATGCGAGTGTATTTCTTTATACTGTTGAAGAGCGACGTCGCTGATAAGCTTATAGATCTATCTGTATGCATGTGCATATATGAGAGAGTTGTATAACGAAGGTAGTAGTTGATTAGCGCACCGTCTATTTCTTTCTCCTTCTCGCTCTGTGGGAAATTCGTATATAATTTGAGACAGCACAATGTATTAGATGTATTACGTATCTCAGTTATATATTTGTCCACATTTTAATTATACATTTTCAGTTTCAAATACCTATGTATCTTTATGACAGTTATAGAATCGATAATTTATTATTACTTTTATCGATACACATTAGTCAGTGGTAAACAGAAGTATATTTACACAAATCCAACAGCCAGTTAAATGCCAGCTACCTGATTATTCTATTATCTATAAATAGTATATACATTGAACTTGAACGATAAGCCCACCTGCCTGGCAGAAATTATTTACATTCATACATGCGACTGCATTTTAGTACTTATTAATATTAAACAATCGAACGCCATGGAACTGCGGTAACTTCGGCAGCGTGACCACAACCAAGGATATAAAATTTGCAATGAAATGTTCAGTGCTGTTACGGGTGTACAGACAAGTCAAAAGGAATCTACAATAAATATAAATCAATGAGCAATGCAAACACTATTAAATGTATAAATGTCGACGTACAGAACGATTGGCACAGCAGTTAGAAATTTGCGAGTTGGAGTTAATTGAACGCCGTCATCTATTTGTTCCCAGTGTGTCCATTGCCGACTGGCATCATTCTCGATGCTTAGCCAAGGAGCTCCTTTGACTATATGTAGAAAATACAAGTGTGCCTGGCAGAAATCAATAAATATTAATTCTAGTAAATTCTATGTAACTTGCGTGGAAGATCAAAACTTACTACGTTGTGCAGCAAATTAGTTGCGGTCCAGGCGGCAGAAATTGTAACAAAGGGCACTGATAACAGCAACAAATGTACAAACAGCAATCCAAGAAAATAAGCAAGCCAGAAACCACGGGCACTTAGCCAAGAGCTGTTTGGATTTGTTTCGCCATGTCCGCCGGCAATAGATGTCATTTTTGTACGGAGTTGCACTTTAGTCGCTGCGAATTTTGGTAATTGTTTTATACAATAGAGATGAGCGCAATGCACAATACAAGAACTACTATCGACTATCGATTGTTGTTTCCCAGTATTTATTGTATCGATATTCAACAATGTCAACAAATCTGAACTAGTTCAGTTTACAAACACTAATTGCATTTTGCAATGAGAGTGGCATATTTTTCCAAGCTGAGAAGCAGACACATATAAAATATTTGCATAAAAGTGATTTCCTATAGTAAAACTGAATTTTATGTCTTCTTGAAACTAAAAGTCGTCAAAATGAGTAAAAGTCATTCGAAAAGTGGAGGTAAGTACTGCAAATCACAGCGACGTTTTTTCTTTTAATTTACACACTACACGCAGCCGGCCACAGCGGCAAACCACCCAAAACAATCTCCATACCGAGCATTGAACAAAAGAACAAGCAAATGCAACAGGAGACGCTGATGGAGAAGCTACGCGCCAAGTACCGCAATAAGCCAAAGAGCTACGAGGAAATCAAGAAATCGGTGCGCATGTATTTCATAGAGAAGCATTATCCGCTGGACCCACTCTGCAAGGCAGCGCTGCAGTCGGCATTGGATAAACTGCAGCACTACATCAAAGTCACGTCCCGGCACGGTCTTGTGGAGCGKTTGGAGAGTCTGTCCCGCCAGCTGGGCCTCAAATTCATGGAGGATCAGCAAACGCTATTCATTTCCACAGACATGTTCTACGTGGAGATCCTGCTGGACGCCAGTGGTA